CAGGCTGCCGCACAGACACACCCGCATCGGTATCCCCCACGGTCCCACCCGCGTGGAAACGAGGAAGACGAGGACACGAGTAGGGGACGTGGGGGGTTAGTGAGATGGGAGCGCGCCTGCACGCCTCACACATACAGAGAGAGAGAGAGAGAGAGAGAGAGAGAGAGAGAGAGAGAGAGAGAGAGAGAGAGGTCTGTTGCGTGACACATGGGCTCAGAAGCAGTACTCAGTGGGGGGGCCGTCCAAGCGGGTAGCCATGAGGAAGGGTGGGAACAGGAAYGGGCACGGCAGTCTCCAGGAGGGGTGGGAGCAGGAACGGGCACAGCAGTTTCCAGGAATGAATAAGAGTACCGTAAATGAAAAAATGTGGGACTGTCGGTACCCCGGAACAGACCACTAGCAAACACAATACAGGTGCCTATAAGAAACTACCACCCTGACTCCATTGACGGCCTCAGTTACAACGGCCTTTTTGAACTTGGGCCATGACAAAGTTGCTCGTGCATGTTTTTCTTGCCAATTAGAAACTCTGGTGTGACATGAATGTACTTCCCTCAAAAATAAAAAGAGGTCGTTGGGGGGATAGCCTCGCAAATCCTCACCCTCGTTTTCCTTGTACGCTTGACATCCAYCTTGATTCAGATGTCAAGTCTTCATTCAAATGTCAAGCGTAGGAGCAAAACGGATGTGAAGACAAACAGATGTCCTTGTTGGGGGATAGGCTGGAAAATACTCACCGGTTTAAATTGGAACTTACCTTGTTTCGTCTCGAGAAGCTTGACGCTTTCTGCGGCTGTAATGAACCTCTCATACAAATCGCTCCCGYTTTTCAAATACGGGTTGCTCCTTGTTGTGAAGACAACACTTTGCTGCGCCTTGTTCCGGATTGCTTCGGAAATTACTGTTTCTGACCGAAGATGCTCAAAAGTCTCATATAAAACCTGCACAAATGCAGTAGTCAAGCTGTGTTATAAAGCAATTTCCAAAAAGGTACTTAGAATCATCTACTAAATAGTAATTCACCCACTGTAGGTACTTCGTACCGTGATAACACTGTGCATGTAGAATGCTTTGCTACCGGTGTGGTTTCTATGATCCCAATTGAAAGCACATTAATGCAAACTCAAGCTTGAGGCACGTACATTGAATGCTCAATCGTAACACAAATATGAACCGTAAGGGCATGCTCACACAAGGACACTTCTGACGGAACTCTTCACGCGATTACAGTCAGATACATTTAGGGAAGTGCTAGCATGAATACCAGAGTATGGCCTAACAGAGGATAAAAAAAGGCAAAGGAATGTCAAAAGAAGTCGRAACACAGTGCAAGAATAGTACTCGCAAAGACAACTCTCCCCCATCGCCSCCATCGCCGCCATCGGCATTGATTAGAGTCCCCGGAGTGACTCCAGGTTGATGTCAACCCGTACAACAAAAGTCCACAGGTAGCGTTCCGCCGTTCACCAGCACATAASACGCAATCTGACTCCCACTCAACGCAGTTTAACCATCACACGACTCTTCWTCCATTCACCGAATATACCGACGAGATGCAGCACAGAGAAAAGACAGCATGAAAAAAGACACCACCCACGAAAAAAACACCATGACCACGACATCTCCATATTACATCCGCATATGACTGAGGGGCGTGACTCGCCCCAACCCGGCAGATTGGCCTTATATATTATCTCCTCATCCTCTCTTTTGTCGCTCATCCATAACCAAAGGCATGGGGATAATTGGTAGAAGGCGCACACGCCAAAACCTTTTCGGTTTTGGCCGCCCAAAGTTCAGCTGTTTGGTACTACCAGCCCAATGTCTTCCATCTGGGGTACTACAGGCCCACGCTTCGCTCCAAGGGTCCTACCGAATCATCAATCTGGCGCATAAACAGCGCCAGATTCATTTTGATGTAGAAGAGGCCGAGGGTGGTGCCGCTGAACGATAGAATGMGGCCCACGTACCGTATTTTGAAAAAGAAGGGCCCTACCAGTTCATGAATCTGGCACAAAACCAGTGCCAAATTCATCAACCGGTAAATACAGGCCAAGGGAGCTGTGGGCACAGCGAGAAGGCGCCTTTCACCAAGGCTGAAGACATTTGGGCCGGTACTACCAAACGGCCGAACCTTGGGCGGCCAAAACCGAAAAGGTTTTGGCGTGGGCTCTTTCTACCAATTATCCCAAAGGCATGGATGGATTTGACTGCAATCACGTCCCGAGCTTTGTCGAAAATGTTCTAGTGTAGTAGTCTGGTTATCGCAATCACGTCCCGAGCTTTGTCGAAAATGTTCTAGTGTAGTAGTCTGGGTATACTCTCAATATGCAACGGTTCTCTGTGATAGCAAATGTCCTTGAGGATAAACATCTGTCAGGTCTTCTCTCAGGAACTTCTAACTTGGTGGCCATTATTCAAACCACCTTATTAGCATCGTCCTCTRGAATATATACAGCCTCCCCGCACAACTCACCAAATGTGACAAGGACAAAGACTATGGTGAGCGTATCTTTCCAGAGACTATGGCGGGCGTATCTTTCCAGAGACTATGGCGGGTGTATCTTTCCATTTTCTCGCGTAAGATGCCTCCTCCATTTTGCACATTAAATTTTGCACGTTAAATTTTGGTGACTGGTGCAGTGAGGCCCATGGTATAAAAAAAGAGGAGAAAAAAGGAAAACAGAAATTCATTGGTTGGCGCACTCTTCTTCCATCCACCGGTTGTCACAACCACCAACCCCTCAACACCCAACCAGAGGCTAGGTCGAACCAGCAAAGAGGATTGGATTAAGCACCTGAATCTGAAATTCTGAATGGGTTTTCCGGAAAGATTCAGAAATTTTAAAGCAGATCAATCGCGGTTTTCTCCATCTCTCCACAAACACGTCCACATTCTGGACTTAAATCCAATCCTCTTTGCTAGTGGGACCTCACCCCAGGAACAAATCACRAGTGCATCGTCATCATCTCAGAATAATGATTACGAAGACCATTGCAAGAACGATAATTATGGGATATTTGGTGCAAAGCGCCCACCGTCATCAYCCAATACAACACCCAGTCATTGCGGCTGTATCMAGACTGAGTCGGGAAATTGCGCCGAATACAGCTACAATGCCCTGGCATTCTTTTCCTCCGCCGAATACAGCTACAATGCCCTGGCATTCTTTTCCTCC